TCAATCCTCACTCCCCCTTTCAGGTACTGTCCGTCTTGGCCAGCTGACACCAGCACACACCAACCACCATCTTTGGCAAACACACACAAAACACTTCTTACAATGCAAAGGACTAGACTCCAGAATGAGAGAGAGAGAGAGAGAGAGAGAGAGAGAGAGAGAGAGAGAGATCACAGAAGACTGGTTTGGTTTCTAAAGTAAACGCAGGGCAGGCTCCTGCCTGTCCTTCTTCCCGAAATGTCAGAATCCCAGACCCCCGATTCCTTCCTTCCTCTGAATCTAGGTTCCAGCCTGTTTCCTTGAAACCCTGCACACCTGGGCCACAGCTGCCTCCTATGTCAACAACAAATCCACCTAGGACCCCTGTCCTCCAGCTCCCATAGGGCTCATGTGTTGGAAGTACAGTGGCCTTGTCACACAAGGTTGGGGAGGCTGGAGCTCAAACCTGTTTTCTTGGGGGATCCAGAGATCTGGGCTCAACAGTATCCAGATCTAGCCTGAATATTGCTGTATGTAGGCTTAGCTTAGGTCTCCAACTCATGGGCCTGGATGGCGGCTGCATTCTCATAGATGACGTTTGCCATATTCTTGTATGTTGCCTCCTTCTGAGTGGTGGCTGGGGCTGACTGCTGGAGAAACCTCAGGATGCACTGGTGGAGGAACACGTACTGGGCCTGGGAAAGATACACAGGATGAGGGTGCTTCCCACAGGGTCCTACAGGCTCCCTCAACACCCATGTCCCTCCAAAGCCCCTCACCTCTGTCTGCACCATCAAAGGACGGCTCTCTCTCATCTTCCTCACAAAGCTCAAGGGCCCCACCAGCCCCTCACACTCCAGCTGCCTGAGCAGGACATCCAGCGCGATAAGGGTGCCTGTCCGGCCCACACCAGCACTGGGCAGGGACAAGACAAGAGTCAGGTGTGTATAAGGGGAGGGAAGTCTGGAGCCCTAGCTCATGGAGCTGTGTTTGGGGGACACCTAGAGACTGTGGTGCTTAACAAGATACTGTTTAGGTGGGAACAGAAGATCAAGTCAGTAACTGCCTAGGATTTTTCCTTCTGTTGGTTGTGTTCTGTGTGCCTTGTTTGATCTTTTCACTCCTCCCAGGCCTAAAGATAAGATCTATTCACATACCCATTTTATAGATGGCAAAATGAAGTTGGGGAGGAGGAGTCATATGTCTCAGGTGATGGGTGGAGAATAGGGTTCAAACACAAGAACTCCTAAGCTAATCTTTAGTTTTCTTTCTTTCCCTGCCCTCTCTCCCTTCCTTCTTTCAGAATGGGTCTTTCTATGTGACCCAGACTGGTCCAGAACTCAGTATTCAGCACAGGCTGACCTCAAACTCATGATCCTCATGTCTCAGCCTCGAAAGTGTTGGAATTACAGGCATGTACCTCCAGATCTTTCTTCATTAAAAAATTACATTTAATTAATTTGTGTGAGTGGTGTGTGTGTGTGTGTGTGTGTGTGTGTGTGTGTGTGTGTGTGTGTCGGGGATAATTTGCAGGAGTCAGTTCTCTCCTTCTGCCTTGTGTGTGCTGGGAGTTGAACTCGGGTACTCAGGCTTGGCAGCAAGCGCCTTCATGCACTGAGCCATCTCACAGGCCCCCAGACCTGTCTTCTCAGTCTGCTTTACAGCCCCCTTGATCTTTGTGCTCACCACCTTCTTTTCTGTCTCCTGTATGAATTCCTGGACAATCACCTATTGAGTTCTGAGTCCTAAGGCGGGTTCTCTCCAGAGGACGGGCTTCCAGGGTGGTGCTCACCTGCAGTGAACAATGGGCGGGCCTCCACCTGCGGTCTGATCCAACCACTGCCGAACCACCTTCCAGAAAGCCAGCAAGGGGTCTGGGGAGTAAGGAACTCCATGATCTGGCCAGGCCAGGTAGTGGAACTGACGTACAAAGAGGGTCTGCTGCTGCCCCATCTGAAAGAAGGCGAGGGTGGAAGAGGGGAGGGTGGTGTAGAGGCTCCAGAAGATTCTGTGCCCGATGGGTGATTCCCTGGAACACAAGCTACAGGGAGACTTGATGGGGAGTTCTGAGTGGGGTGGGAGGGGCTCACGTGGTAGAGCTGAAGATCCCTCACTGTCCAGTCCTCTGTCACCTCCTCAGCCAGCAGCGTCACCCGCAGCTTCCTGTGAGTGCAGGGCTGAGCATCCAGAGGCCAGTAGTGCTCACACTTCACCTGGGGACAGGGGAGGTCAGCACACAGAGCATGACACCGTTACTGCACGTGTGTGTGTGCATGTTCACATGAATGTATCACACACTGTGTGCATGTGTGTGTGTGGATGCCTGAGGCTGTCATCCAGAGTCACTCTATACCTTCTCCATTGAGGCACGGTCTCTCACTGAACCCACAGCTTGCCTAGCATGTCTAGTCTGGCTGGCCAGCTTGGTCTGTGTGGTGATTTGAATGAGAATGTCCCCCATAGGCTCCAAGTATTGGACATTTTGTTCCCAGTTGGTGGTATTGTTTTGGGAGGTCTTAGAAGGCATGGCCATGTGGGAGAAAACACTGGCAGTGGGCTTAGAGAGTTCTTAAGCCTTGCTGGATCTCTGATCACTCTACTTCCTGTGTCTGCTTGAAGATGTGAGAGCTTAGCTTCTGCTCCAGCCACCTCTGCTTCCATGCCTCCCCACCATGATGGACTCTTCCTTTTATAAGTTCCCTTAGTCATGGTGTTTCTATCACAGCAACAGAAAAATGATTAATACAGTCTGAGATTCCCTGTCTCTGTCTGCCAAGCACTGGAATTCCAGGTGGGCCACCATGCACACCTGGCATTTATGTGGATTCTGGGGGTCCAAACTCTGGTCCTCACGCTTGCATGGAAAGCACTTTATCCACAGAGCCATCTCTCTAGCCTCCAACGGGACACCTTTTCCATGTAGCTTCTTTTCTGTCAGGGTCTCATAAAGCTCGAGCTGGCACTGAATTCCCTTTGTAGCAAAAGATGACCTGGGACTCCTGATCCCCCTGCCTCCACCTCCAGAGTGCTGGGATTGCAAGTGTGCACCACCAGGCCCAGTGTCTGTGCTGCTGGGGATCTAACCTAGTGCCGCTCCTGTGCTAGGCAAACACCAGCCCCTTCGTGTGGCTCTTCTCTTCAAGGTGTGGGGAATCTTGCTGCCCTGGCAACAAGGGAAGGCCTACAGGCAGCCAGTCCCACCTGATACAGTTCCAATGTGCCTCTCTCCAAAGTTTATGGACTGGGAGCCTTATACCCAAATCCATGTGTTCATGGTATTCAGAGGTGGATCTTTGGGAAGAAACTAGGACCAGATGAGGTCATGAGGAGAGGCCCTCACAATGGTGTTCACGGCTTCAGATGAAGAGGGAGGCAGCCAAGCTGGCACACTGGCTCTGCCTCACTGGGCCATACTCTCCACCCGGTTATGAGGCAGGAAGAAAACCCTCCCCGGGTGCTGGCACCATGCTCTGGGACTTCTCAACCTCCAGAAGCATAATCCACAGGAACCTCTGTTGTTTATGAAGTGTCTGGCCTGTGGCATTCACTTGCAGCAATAGAAAATGGATCAAAACACATGGACCAGTGGACACTGTGAGGGTGGAAAGGATGGGTGTGTGATGAAGATGGCTGGGCTCACACTGCAGAAGTGGAGAGGTGTGTGGAAGAGTCTACATTGGGTCAGTGTCCAGGTAGGGCAGGGTCATGGGGTAGTTCTCCAGGGTCATCACTAGGACAGAGTTCTCCTCTTACCAGTCCAGACTCCATGCAGTTAGTCAGCATGACCAGGGTGTGGCTCTGCTGCTCCCACACCAGACGCCAGAAGTCACTCACAGTGTGGGGCAGGGGGCCCTGCGCTGCAATGAACTCCTTGGGGCTCCGAAGACCCTGGTTGAAGAGAGCAGCATGTCATGGGCAGGTGACTGGATCTGCATCTCTAAGCCCTTTATCTCTCCAGGCTCACTGAGCATCCTTCAACCCCATCCCCACCCCTTCATCTTACAGGCATGAAGCTGGCGTTGATGTAGTCAGAGCCTGGTTCCTCCTGAAGGGACTGCAGGGGCACCCGGGACCAGTCATCTAGGAAAGAACACCAGGAGGAACAAGGCAAAGAGGTTCTGAGAGGAGTCAGAAATGATTCAGACAGTAAAGGGCTTGCTGTACAAGCATGAGAATGTGAGTTCGATCCCTTGAACCCATGTAAAAAGGTATGGGAAGGTGGAGACAGGTGATCTCCAAGGCTCAGTGGCCAGCCCTCTTAGCCTACTTATGGAGTTACATGTTGGTGAGAGATGCTGTCTCTAAAAACAAGGTGGGCCTTTGCAAGTCAGTCAGTAGGTAGAGTGCTTCCCTAGCATGAAGCACTGGGTTCAACGCCTCCCCATACCCCTCCACCCCTGCACAGAATAAACGCCACATGGTTGCACACACCTGTAATCCCAGCACTTGGAAGGTAGAGGCAAGAATATCAGAAATTTAAGTTTGAGCTGAAGAGATGGTTCAGTGGGTAAAGGCACTTGCCACCCAGCCTGGAGACCTGAGTTCAATCCTCTGACACATGGTAGAAGGAAAAAACTGACTCCTACAAGTTGTCCTCTGACTTCCACATGGGTGACACAGAGGTACCTTCCCCACACATACACATATGAAACATGCACATAAATAAGTAAATAAATAATAAATAAATAGTATAATAGAAGTTCAAGGTCATCCTCAGCTACATAGTGAGTTTGAGGTCAGCCTAGGCTACATTTGACCCTGTCTCAAAAAAACCAAAAATTATGCCGGGTATGCTGCTGCACACCTTTAGTCCCCACACTCGGGAGGCAGAGGCAAGTGGATCACTATGCATTGAGCCCAATCTGGTCTGTACAGCAAGTGCCAGGCCAGCCAGGGCTACATAGTGAGACCCTGTCTCAAAAATAAAATTTGCCAGGCATGGTGGCACACGCCTTTAGTCCCAGCACTCATGAGGCAGAGGCAGGCGGATCTCTGTGAGTTTGAAGCAGCCTGGTCTCCATAGTGAGTTCCAGGACAGCTGGGGCTACAAGGAGACCCTGTCTCAAAAAGACCAAAAATAAAATAATAAAATAAAATAAAATAAAATAAAATAAAATTTTAAATGTGGATAGCAATTGAGGAAGGCACCTGAGGTTGAACTCTGGGCTACACACATGTGCATGAACATGGACCACACACACACACACGCACGCATGCACGCACACACATACACACACACACACACACACACACACACACACACACACACACACGAAAACAGAAGTCACAGCCAGACATGGGAGCTACATGGGGACTGAGAGGGACACAGGACCATCAGTAGAGGGAGTGAGCCAGGAAGACTCTGGAGGGGACCCACTAGAAGAGATACTTTGTTTCTCACTAGAGATGAGAGAAAAGAAACAGAGGGCTGGTGAGATGGTTCAGCAGGTAAAGGCACTTGCTGCCAAGTCTGATGACCTGAGTTTGATCCCTGGGACCTACATGGGAGGAAAAATGACTCCCTCTGACAAAACAGGTGTTCCATGGCATACACATACACACATGCTACACACACACACACAAACATAAACTTTTTTGGTCTTTTTGAGACAGGGTCTCCCTGTAGTCCCAGCTGGCCTGGAACTCACTATGTAGACCAGGCTGGCCTTGAACTCACAGAGATACACCTGCCTCCGCCTCCCGAGTGCTGGGATTAAAGGCGTGCACCACCATGCCCAGCATAAATATAATTTTTAAGAAAGGAGAGGAAGGCAGTAAGAATGGGGTTCTGGCACAATTGAACATGGTTAGAGATGAAGGCAACAGACCCCCAAGACTCACAGGGCAGCACATTCCTGTAGCGGTTCTTGGATTTGTTCTCGGGAGCTGATGCCACCATCTGAGACTGGCCTTGACCCTCTAGGATCAATTGCTACAGGCAGAGAGGCAGAGAGGAGGTTTAGGATGTTGGATTTTCTTTACCTTTCCACCCCCAATGCCCTCAGGTTCCCCATGCCCTCTTCTGTTTATCAGTTGTGCCCTGGGACTCTGTGATACTCACAAAATTAGAGCTATAGTTATACAACCATTCCCCTTGGGGATTTAGGGGATGGTGAGGGCTCCTTCAGACAGTTATCATGTGTGGGTGTCTGGGGGTCCCTGTACTGTGACCCCAGTATCCATTATTGCTTTAGATTTCAGTGATTCGGAAAGATAAATGTGCCTGAGAGTTTCTGTATAATTGAAAAACGTGGGCTGGCCTAACAGGTATGATGTCCTGAGTTAGACCTCCAGGACAGCATAAACCAGATGTGGTGGAACACATTTGTAACTTAGCACTTCGGAGCCAGAGGCAGGAGGTTCAAGTGTTCAAGGTCATCCTTGGCTACATAGTGAGTCCAAGGCCAGCATAGGATTCATGAAACCCTCAGTCAAGAAAACAGGGGCAGGAGCCGGAGAGATGACTCAGTGGTTAAGAGCACTGGCTGTTCTTGCAGAGGACTCAGGTTCTGTTCCCAACACCCACACGGCAGCTAGCAACCATCCTTAACTCCAATTCCAGGGGATCCAATGCCCTCTTCTGGCCTCTGTGTGCATTGCACACATGGCTGCACTTACATACATGTAGACAACATACTTATTAATATAAAATAAAAACAAAAAAATTTTTGAAGACAGAGGCAGGGTTCATGAAGCCTAACACCTCTTTGAGGATCTATAGGCAGTTGATTGTTGCTGAGGGAGGGAGACACATTTTCTTCAGTGTATAGTCACTGGTAAGGTAAGTAACCCTGTAGCTTCCTCCTTTGTCCCTGAAGGACAATAGCACTCTGCTCACTAAGAGTTAACAGACTTCTTTGGCCTTTGCTGATACAGAGACTTGTGGGTGGGAGGAGTGTCTGCTCCCAGGATACTGAAAAGACTGATAAGACACCAGTTTCTGACCAGGGCTTGGTGGTGCACACCTTTAATCCCAGCACTTGGGACGCAAAGGCAGATAGATCTCTGTGAGTTTGAGGCCAGCCTGGTCTACATAGTGACCTCCAGGTCAGCTGAGGCTATAGGGAGACCCAGTCTCAAAAAAAGACACCTGTATCTGGGATGCTAGGAACAAGTTGTCACATCCCTCACCCTGGTTGTACATTGTGCATGCATCAAAGGAGATCTATTACTGGGCAAGTCGTCATGGCCTTGAGCTGTTTTCTAACTATTTTGATAGAAAAATTCCCATGTGTTTTGCACTGCTTAAGCTGTTATCATTTGTAAACTCTGTGTGAACTTCAAACACTAAGCTTCCTAAATAAAAGCTTCTCAAGAGGGCAGTAAAATGCTCCTGAGTGGCACAACCCTGGGGACTCCCAGTCTAATTTCAATTTCTCAGCAACATTCACAGCAGGGCATCTACATAACCCCTTGCTCATGCTCCTGTAAGCAGCCCTAATAAAACTCATTGAATGACAAAAAACAGAGATATTAAAATAGAACGGGGCCTCCTTGGGTAGAGGAAGGGGATCAGTGAGAATGGGAGGGGTGCAAATGAGAGTAATGGGGCGAACATGAATAAAATACATTTAAATATGCAAATGTCATGATGAAACTCATTATTATGTATAATTAATATATGCTAATAAAAACTTGTAAAAGAAACAGCTATATGTTTCTGCTTTTGCCTAATCCAGAAGAGTGGGGGGGGCGGTTAGGGCTGGACTTGAGGTGCAGGGAGCTGGTTGGTTGCCTCTGCTCACACCCCACCTGGTACTCCTCAGCAAAGCCATAGTTGCTGTCCTTCTCATTCTTCCTGACATGGTCAGCAAAGTCTTTGGCAAGGATATTTCCTGAGAAGCTGTGGTAGGGAGAAGGAGAAGAAAAGTCGTCCTATTACCTCCATGTGTACGCTGTGGTAGGTGCACCCACACACATGCACACACAAAATGAATGAATGAATGAATGAATGAATGAATGAATTACAAATATAAAAACTTAAAGTACTTAGAATCTTGTGCTTTAGGGATAAAACTAAGTGATTCTGATCCATCAATGTTCCTTCTGAGTATGCCACCAAGAGTAATGAGAGAAACGATGTTGGTAACATATAATCATAGCCCCACAGTTCACAATAACCCAAAGAACCAAGACAGCGGAGTGTTCATCAATCGCTGGGCATGGTGGCGCACACTTACAATCCAGCCATCAGGAGGTTGAGGCAAGAAGACCACCAAGAGTTCAAGGCCAGCATGAACTACATAATGGAGCAGGGCTAGAAAGATGTCTCATTAGTTAAGAGCAATGGCTACTCTTGGGGCTGGAGAGATGGCTCAGCGGTTAAGAACACTGGTTGTGGGTTCGAATCCCAGCACCTACACGGCAGCTAACAACTGTCCTTAACTCCAGTCCCAGGGGATCTGACAGCCTCTTCTGACCTCCATGGCATTGCATGACACGGATGCACTTACCTACATGCAGAAAATACAGGCATACACATAAAATAAATAAAAAACAATAATAAATAATTTTTTTAAAAAAAGAGTAATGGCTGCCTTTGAAGACCCGGGTTCAAATCCCAGCACCCACATGGCAGCTAACAACTGTCAGTAACTCCAGTCCCAGGGGATCCAACAGCTTCTTCTGACCTCCACAGGCAGACCATTATAAGGGATGGTTCTTAAAAATCTGTATGCTACTAAATTTGAAAACCTAAAAGAAATGGATATCTAAAGGCATGGGAACCACCAAAACTAAACCAAGAAGAGATTAACATCTTAAACAGACCCATAACACAAAAAGAAATTGAAACAGTAACACAAAACCTCCCGACTAAAAAAACTCAGCATGAGATGGATTTACAGCAGAATTCTATCACACATTTAAAGAAGATCTGTGTCCAATACTACTTAATTTATTCAAAAAGAGAGAAATGGAGGGAGAACTCCCAAATTCCTTCTATGAAGCCAGCATCATTCTAATATGAAAGCCAGGTAAAGACACAACCAAAAAAGAAAACTATAGACCCATATCATTAATGAACATAGATGCAAAAATTCTCAACAAAATACTTGCAAACCGCATACAGACACACATCAAAAAGATCATTCAGCAGGCGTGGTGGTGCACGCCTTTAGTCCCAGCACTCTGGAGGAAGAGGCAGGCAGATCCTTGTGAGTTCAAGGCCAGCCTAGTCTACACAGTGAGTTCAGGTCAGCTGGGACTACAGGGAGACCCTGTCTCAAAAAGACAGAAAAAAAAAAAAAGATCATTCACCATGATCAAGTAGGCTTTATCTCAAAGAAGCAGGGATGGTTCAATATATGCAAATCAATAAACATCATTAATCATATAAATAGACTCAAAGACAAAAACCACATTGTCATCTAAGTAGCTGTACAAAAGGCTTTTGATAAAATTCAGCATGCATTTATGTTCAAACTCCTAGAGGGAACTGAACTGGAGGGAACATATATCAACATAATTAAAACTATATACCACTAATCCATGGTCAACATCATTCTAAATGGAGAAAATTGGAAGCATTCCCATGAACATCAGGAGTCAGACAGGACTGGTCACTCTCTCCACTCTTTTTCAATATAATGTGTGAATTTTGTCTTTA